TGGGGGGTTCTTCGGTTTTTGTTGGTAAGCATTTTATGGCGCTCGCAACTGCATACGGTCATATGAGCGCGCGGAACACATTAAACATTTTCACTTTGGTAGGAATTGATTTTGAATTTTGCCCGGATCGCGGCCGAAGCCTACTCTTATCGATTTTGGGCCACCAATGGATCTTTAACGAGCGCAGCTTGCACACGTGACCTCCGAGATTTCTCGCTTTTATCCGGAAGGCTAGGTTTTAGATCTTACCACTCTAAAGTCGGGGGTGTGGCTGAAAGACAGCAGTAAGAAGGAGTCAAGGAGTAGCAGTAGAAAGGCTGCAGAAAGAGTCGGGAGCTCAGATGAGGGGGGCAAACAGGGAGGGGATGGGGGCAGAATGGAGACGACAACGAATTACAGAACATGGTCAGAAAGCAGGAAAGGAGGTGAAAGGAGAACATTTTTTAGATAAAAAATTTACGTCGCTGCCAAGTTTCAAACCCTGCACCTACTGTGTGAGAGACAAACACCTTAACCTCTAGACCTCGAGAGCCTCTGATGATTGATGATCAAAACGGAAGTTTTGATTCCTTCATTATTATCTTTACCGTACGATACCTAGACACGTCACCTCACTATGGTAGGAAGGCACTTTATTAAAAAACTATACTGTTATCAAATAGATCTAGTGTAGAGGAAAGTCGTGACTGATTAAAACACGTTTTCGCGAGCAGTGTTACAAAGTGTAATGTCAAGGGCCCACGATGTGATCATTTCGTTATCTCAAATTAATCATCCTGAGCCCAAAAGATGCAGCTGAAAATGAGAATGCCTGATATGTGGCGCTATCACATGAAACAGGAAAAACACCGATACTTAGATTTATTTACTCTGTGTGTGTGTGTGTGTGTGTGTGTGTGTGTGTGTCTGTGTGTGTGTCTGTGTGTGTGTCTGTGTGTGTGTCTGTGTGTGTGTGTGTGGTACAGTGATTGAACTTTTAGTAGAGAATGATTATGTCTGTGAGCCCTGATTGTCCCTGACAGGTAGGGTTGAAACAGCCCGCCTCCTATATGATCTAAATGTTGATGTGGACGAAGTACTTTTACAAATATATGTATAATAATTTGCAAACACATCTCTTTTCTTTGTACCTTCTTTTATTCACACTTCTGCAAAAGTTAATGCTTGACAACCCCACATTATACAAGAGAGTCCACATACTTCACACACTATTGAACATCATTTCTTTCTGATTACTTTCTTCTACGCAGGCCGATCAACTATCAGAGGAACAAATTGCAGGTTTGTGATTTTCTCATGTCTTTGTCACTTGTGTGTATATATATGTGTGTGTGTGTGTGTGTGTGTGTGTGTGTGTGTGTGTGTGTGTGTGTGT